AAAAAGATAAATAAAAAAAAAAAAAAAAAATTAAAAAAAAAATTTTTTTTTTGATATATAATAAAATAGAATATTTTCTTTAAAAAAATTAAAAAACAGTGTGGACTAGTGGGACATGCTACACGACGTTGTCGTAAAAAATAATGTAACGGATAGAGAACATCAATCGATAATAATAATCATGATATTTTTTAGCTTATTATATTAAGTAACAATAATAATTAACTATAAAAAAGATTTTAAATAATTAAAGAAGGCTTTCTGCATTATATTTTTTTGTATTTATTGGTATTTAATACAAACTTGGAATCATTAATGATAAACCAAAACGGAAAGGGTCAATCATTTGCGAGAGGTACGCACCAATAACAGGAAACTCACCGAGTAATCTATGAAACCTTTTAACTTTTTTTTTACTAACAAAAACAAAAAAACCTCTCTGTTACAATTACTGCTTAAGACTTGGAGAATAAAACTATGAAGAGTGGTGAAGTTAAGTTGTTTATTAATTTGCATATTATTATTGTTAGTTACAATCAAAAACACCTCCATATTCATTACCAAAATAAAATTATTATATATCAAAGTTTTTATGTAACAATAATATGTTACATCTTCTTTTATGAGTCTTCTTTTATGAGTGATTACTTTATTAACATCAACATCTGTATCCATTAAAAAAATTACAAATTTAGTAGAATAATTTTAAAAAAATTAATAAATGCGTTCGTTCATCAAGTCGTGAATCTAGTAGTAGTGACGAAATAGATGATGTAAATCGCATTTTTTTCTTCTTCAGATAATGATTTATTTATTATTCATTCAGGTTTCTTAACTGATTCTTTATCATCTCTAAGCATTCATTTGTAAAAATCTATTATTGTTATTATTATTATTATTATTATTAATGTTAGGTATTTTTTTATTTCGATGTTTTTTTTTTAATTTATCGTGAATTTGTGTAAAAATTTTATTACTATTACTATTACATTTACAAAATTAGTTGTATAACAAAAAATATCATGTGAACACTTTACTTCATCCCTAAAATTTTTTCCCAAAGAGTGCTATATTGTCCACCACCACTACCACTTTCTAACCGTCTATAATCCGGTTCTTCTTTACCTTTACCGCTCCTATTAAACAACGAATAAATACATGAATAAAGAAATGCTATACTAATTTTTATTCCTTTTCCAATTATATTCTTACTACGCAAACATAACCACCAAATCATTAATAAAATTACAAGCAAAATTGTGACCCCAATAATCCATTCAACCATAAAATTATAATGGCCAAATAATCCACGAGCTCGTGAATAAGATGATGGTGGCGGCGGCGGCGGTGGCAAGACTTGTGACGATATTATTGACGTCGAAGCTTCTAAAACCATTTTACCAAGAGTCCAGCTCACTGCTATATTATTAATGCTATTTATACTTTGGAAAGGTGATTTATGTCTAACTTTTTCTAATAAATTATTATTTTCAGGCAATCCACCCGAATCAATCATTCTCGGAACACCAATTCCCTCGTGCAATATATTTACCAACCATGCTGATTTAAAACATTGCAGTTCCAATCTTGTCAAATCTATTGAAGGATTTGCCGTTTCACCTTTAAGATAATATGTTTCAACAATATTTTCCCAATTTCTAGCACAATAGTCAAGAGCTTTTTTTTCAAATTCTGGAAAATTCCACATCCCACCCAAACCATAAATATCGTGAGATGAATACCAATATTCAGAAATTCCAATGAACTTATTAACCGAAAAATCTATTTTCGGTGTGTGAACACCATTAAATAAACAGGGATTGTCTAAACAGGGAGCGTATTTATTTAATAATTCATAAGTGTCTTTTAAACAAAGATTGAAATCTCCTGTTCCTTGTAGAGTATAATATGGAGGGGGTAATGTCCTATCGGTAAGTAAAAGATCTACAGGCAAACAAGGATCTTTTAATAGAATGGTTGGTTGTTCTCTAGCAGTGTCAGGATTGACTATTTGTTCATGTGTAGAGGTATATTTTTTAATTCGACTCTCTATGTATCTACGACGTGCTTCATTAGTTCCAAAGCCTAAAAATGTTGTGACAAATACATTATAGTCCAATCTATTTCCGTCCAAAGTATACAGTGTGACTTTAGTCAAATCATTGGCATGTTTTTTCGCTTCAATTTTATTTGGCTCAAATGCAATCTGTGTGCTAGCCCCACCCATGTCTAAAAATCCAAATGTAGATGTTTGATCCGAATTTTTTTTTCCGTCGGCAATAAGTGATTTACCATCATCATTAACGAATCCATTCATCAAGTAATTTACAGCAATCCAACCGTATATTCCTTCCGTTTCGCCAGTTATGACTTGAACATGATCCGAACATTTATTAATTTTAAATCGATAATTAAATTGGATATAATCACAGGCATTTTGAAGTATGGCTTGTTGTTGAGATGGCAGCAATAGTCGCATTCCAGCAGTAGCCAGTAAATATATAGGCGTTTGATGGATTTCATTTGTAGGTATGACTTTGTCTGCGAATTGTAATAAAGGTTTTAAATGCAATGGTCCTACTTCAGTTGGTTCATTTGCAAATGAAGATATACCTGGATAATTAATGAATTATTGGATAAAGAAAAAAAATATGTAGATATATACATATATATTAACATTGAAAAATTAACGTATAGCTTAGCTCTCTTTTTAGTATCTTTAACATTCAATTTCCATATTTTCAAATGTGCAAAAGCCGCAAAAATCATCTTTTATATTTGAAATGCATTATAATGTCATGCAAAGTGCAAATGAATGTAAAGAAATGTGATTCATTTTTTAACAAGGTACCTGGTTCTACTTTAAGTTGCCAATTTACGCCATGCTCGTCAGCACGTTCAACTGTAGGCAATACATGAAGATCTTTCTCATCTTTGCCCTGTCTAACAATACTATGATCTTTCCAAGAATATATTTGAATCCTTGATCCTGAACTTCCTGCATCTATAACAATGCCAAATTTTCTATTTAAATACCAATGTGACATTGGTTTGTGATATAATTAAAATAAATGTATAATAAATGTATAAATGGTTATAAATTCTATTAATGTACAATTTAAAGAATGTCTATATTTTTAAATTTTAGAAAATTCTTTTTGGATTTTTTATTATTTTCATTGTTGGACAAAAAAATAGTCTATTAATATTAATATTAATATATACTGCTCTGAAAAAATTGCTATTGGCCAGAACTTGGGGGCTTTGCTTATATCACTGCCATATACGGTAGTTAAATCACATAGATTTATCTAATTATTTATGTGGTTTTTAGGGATCTCTCTGACCAAAATTGCAACTGGAGAGAAAATCAGACCATGTTTGCTTAGCACAATAATGAGATACAAAGACTTTGAAAATTTAATATAAATCGCTCGCATCAGGTGATAATAAATTGACTTTGCAAAATTATTACACTATTTACAATTACATTTCCACCTTATTTTTTTGGAACCAACAGCAATCAATAAAATCGAAGGTACCAATAATGCTTATCTAAGAAAAATTTCTTTGATTCAATCTAAACGAGAAAGCAAGGAGTCAAATAACTTTTTCGTATATAGAAGCAGTGTTCAAAAAGGATAAACTTCTTGTTAATAAAAGAACCAATCAAACAATTTAAGGTGTTTGTACATTATTATTTTGACCACCATGACCAATACTTTCTCCCTCCTCATCAACATCTAAATCTCTTATTTCATGATTTTCATTGTATCTTTTGAAGATTTTCTACTATATATCAATAGCTAATCTATATTGCAAGATCATCAACTTTGCCATCCTGTTCACTTAATACTATTATTACTATCAGAGGATGAAGATAAGGGAAGCGAAGTTGAATTAACAATCAGATATGCATGTAAATTAATTAGCTCTTTATCAATAAGCCTACTGATTTAACATATGCGCTAATTTTGTTTGAACCCCAAAATCCAGTACGGTATGATCATAACGTTATGAATACTTTACTAGCAAAAACCCATTGGTTTTGAGGTGGGGCCATTGGTTTGACGGGTTGATGTATAGTAAATTAGTTTTTTTAGTGGAGCAAATAATTTTTTTAAAGAAAATATTCTATTTTATTATATATCAAAAAAAAAAATTTTTTTTGAAATCTTTTTTTTTTTTTTAACCGATACGTACTTTAAAACAAGTAGCATCGTGATTTTTTATATATGGAAAAAATTTACGTCGTTGATATGAATTTTGTTGTTGCTGATACTGATATAAACAATTTTGTTGTCTTTTCCCGATCTAAATTATATAATCAAGAGTTTATCAATTCTTTGATTTTTAAAAGTTTAGTTAGGGATAAAAAAAGTACCTTGATTACCGATTCATTTGAAGATTTTGTTAAATTTTTTAATTTTCGTAAATCAATTTTCGGACTAAAATTTTTTGAAATTTTTAAATTAATAAATATTAAAGAAAAACAATAAATTTGTTATTATTATTTACTTACTGTCCATCAGAACATTTTGGTCCTTTTAGACAAAATCCCATAAAGTAAGATTCGCATAAAACTTTTTTTACATGTTTTTTAAGGCAATCGGGACCTTTTTGGAGGAAAGAAAAAAATCGTTGTTCAAAAAAAAAAGATGAAATTTTTTAATAAAAATGCATGTATATTAATATGAGTTGGTGAGTAGCTTTGCTATTACCGTGTTTGCAAAATCCACATTCATAATCACCGCAAATTTCATGATCTTTCTCAATATGAGAATAAATGCAATTTGCATTTTGACAAACTCCAAACAAATTAAAATAAATACACTTTGGCATTCTTGATAATTTATATTCGTGTAAATATTCGCATTGTTCATCACCTTTCATACATAAACCACGTAACCAATGTTTGCAAACTATAAATTTCTTTATAATATGTTCATAACGACATGACGTTCCGCGATGACATACACCACGTACATAATCTTGACAAATTTCTCTTTGGGGAACTATGCGTATTTTTTTAAAAAAAAAGAATAATAATAATTTTATTTTTTCTAAAAATTGATATATACAAGTAAAAAGATAAAAGTAAAATGCCTTACAAGGTTTTTGGACCCCAACTCCCAATTCATTTTTAACAAAATCTTCGAAATCAAATTTAAAGTCTTTTTTGTCGCTAAAAAAAAGGGTTTTAATTTCTGTTGTTCTCATTTATTATTATTGCTAATAATGATAATTAAATCTTTGTTAATTTGTTATTAAATAAAATTTTAGAAAACTTTTTAATTAACAAACTCCAAATTGAATTGTAAAGATAAAGAAATAATTTGATGTCTGCGTCCTTTTTAACTACTGTACCTGATGATCGATCAATGACATCACTTATAAAAAACCAAATTACTACTAATATTATTTATACCGAGTCAGAATTTAAAAAAAATTTATTTGCAAACGTAATAATTGCGACTTTGACAATATTTTTCCAAATGTAGAAAAGATATTCTTCAAATTAAGAAATTACTTTCAATTTTCAAGGAACATTTTCCGCGTATTAATTGAGTCACATGTTTAGATATATCGAGCAGTGGGACGTAAATAACTTGCATAAAAAAAATTTATTTAGTTCGTGATAACGCTCATACATTATTTCGATGACAATGATCATCATATTATATTGAGATTATTTATTTGGCTATGGGTTATGATTGACACAAGATAGTTTTTAATAACTCCCAGGTCTTTTATTATTGTTGTAACGTGGTTGATATGATGGTCTATATCTTCCACCACTATATGCAGACAAGTTATAGTTGATGTCAGATTGTCCATAATATCTACCATTTCTATCATAATATTGTTGTTGTGGTTGATAATAAGGTGTAATTGGAGGTGACGGCGAAGCAAAAGATCTATTATATTCTCTATCATTATAAGATGGTGGGTAATAATAATTGTTATATGACTGTCTATAATATCGTTGTGGAGGAGGTTGAAATGAATTTGAAGCAAAGGGTCTATATCTTCCATTATTATGTGCTCGTGGATCATAATTCATATTTGATGGAATATAATCAGACTGCTTGTTATATCCCATATTAGGTTGTCTTTGTGATAACGATGACGATGGTGATGGCGATGGCGATGACGATGATGGCGATGCTGGAGGTGCTGGCGACACAGACGGTTGATTTATTTTTTTAGTCCTTTTGCGAGGTCTTTTAGGAGATTTACTATGATTTATTTGTTCTTGAGTTAATTTTTCAATTTCATCAGAATTTTTTGCAAATTTTTCTTCAAAAAACTCCCTGTCTTTTTGCCATCGAGCCTTTTTATCTTCTGGCAAATCTTCCACCTCTAACGCAATCTCATAAGCCATAGAAATGGTACTTAAGTATGACAGATGATCGATGTTTTTAATCTGAGGAAGTTTTTTATTTTCTTCTTTGGCAGGATCCATTTCATCTAATTTATCCAGCAACCAAACAGCATCATTAGGACCTCCATCAATTCTGGCTCTCTTAAGAGACAATTTAATTAATCCCATCAGATCCAGTTCTCCCAGATCAATTCCTCTTTCCAAGTAATTATCAAAGAAATATTTCAGACTATCTAGATCACGGAGATTATGACATGCAAGCATCATTGCTTCAAATGTTAATTTATTTGGTTTTAAACCTGTATCTTTTATTTTATCATTAAACACTTCTACAGTTTTATCAAATTGAAATGTCGAATTATAAAGAGTCATCAAACTATTGTAAAGATTAATGTCATGTTCCATATCTGGATATTTTTTGATGGCTTGGTCGTAGTATTTTAATCCCAAAAGAAATTGTTTTCCATTTATGCACATATCAAGAATAGTGTTTAAAGGACCGCTTTCAATCGGTAAATTTAAAGATGGTGTTGATTGAGGTTTGCCAATTCCATATATGCATTCAGCAATATTAAGTGCATCTTTAACATGACTCGTACTTTTGTATGTCGCAAGTATATAACGAATTAAATCGTTATCAATAGGCACAAGATCATTATTTTCTTCACCTTGCACATCTATTCTTTTGTCCAAACTATCCCAAATATCATTTGCCAATTTATGAGCCAGTGCTGGATCACTCCTAGCAGATTTAAAGCTCGTTATCAATAAATATAAATATGTTGACTTGTCTGGTTTTACATTTCCACTTTTTATGTATTTGTCATAAGAATCGCACGCAGTATTTAAATTACCTAGTTTTTGACAAGTTTTTAATAAATAGTTTATATGTTCAGTCTCAAGTTTGAATTCAGGGCTATTTGCATCCATAAGTTCAACCATTGTTCTTGTATGTTCTGCGGCTTCTTGAAAAACAAATTCTTCACTTAAACCTCTCAGTATTGCTGTGAATGCTTCTTGGTTTGGGATCAATGATAGTGATTTCATCTATTTTGAAAAATGTAAATTAAGATATATACGATTGTGTGTTACTTTTTCTCAATAATAATAATAATGAAAAAATTTATTTTTTTTACCTTATCAAATAGTTCAAGTGCTATTTTTATTTCTTTTTCTTCAACAAACTCCATTATTAATCTATTCCAATTCTCGTTGTTTTTAAGTTCATTATATTCTTCATTTGCTGCCAAATTAATAATACTATTTAATCCTTTATTGTCAAGCTCGCTAATTTTTTGTTTTAATTCTTGATACTTTCCTTCTGTAGGATCAAAGTTATTTTCCAAACTACCACCACCACCACCACTACTATCATTTTCGTCGCTTCTAACAATACTAGTAAAAAGTTGACGAGCACACGTTGAAATAATGTTTCTATAGTGTTGCTGCTGCTGATTATTATTTGAATGGATTTTGAGGCAATTATATTTTGATAAAGTTGAATAATTTAATACTTTTGGCAACAATGAACGTGGAGCTATTGCATTGGGATTGATATTAGGATTTAATAGAAATGTTGTTATTAAATTTCTGGAAATTTTTGTTAAAGACATGTTTATTATTTTATAGAAAAAAGAGAGATTATCAAAAAAAAATTTTGAATTGACTAATCGAATAAGGTGTCTTCGCATACACCAGATTTAAGACAGGATTAAAGATGATCATACTAATTTTAGTCAGAAATCAAACTACAGACTAGTGCATGTGAAGAAAGAATTTGCTTCAAATTTAAAAAAACAAACGTTACTCAAATTTTCCTAATAAATAATAAAAAGAGGAAAGATTCAAACAACATATTTTTTTTTTTTACGATTTTATCAAAATAAAACCCTCATTTTCATCAAATTTAGATTTCTTATTTACCCAAATTTTTTAAATAAACTTAACTTTTACAAATCTATATATACCATGAGCTCAATCATGGTTGTCAGAAGTTCGGTTAGAAGAAGAAATAGACAAAATGGTAGTGTTAGGAGTGTAGGAATTGGTAGTAGTATAGACAGTATTAATGATAATAATTATAATGTTAGTGATGGAAGCAGTAGTGGCAGTAATAATAACAGTAATAACAACAACAATAACAACAACAATAATGAGACAAATGGTGTTGGTAATGATAATCCCAATGAAGAATTTGCAGTCACTGCACCAAGGATTAAGACGATTAGATTTGGAGAATGGGAAATGGACACTTGGTATGTAGCACCATACCCAGAAGAATATACATACAATCCAGTGTTACATATTTGTGAATTTTGTTTAAAATATATGAAGAGTGAATACATAATGAAGCGACATAAGGTTTTTTGTTGTTGATCAAACTCACCCACATGTTCTCTTCTCTCCGCCGACTTATTAACATTTATTGATAATTATTATTAGGTTAAATGTCCAATGAGGCATCCACCTGGCAATGAAATATATCGGGATGGGAAAATATCAATTTTTGAAGTAGATGGGAGAAAAAATAAGGTAACAATCAAAAGAATAAAAATATATATTTATATTTATATTTATATAAATATTAATCAAAGAAATTTTCTAAAGATTATTACTTTATTTATTTATTTACTTGGTAGATATATTGTCAGAATTTATGTTTGTTGGCAAAATCATTTCTAGATCACAAAACATTATATTATGATGTAGAACCATTTTTATTTTATGTTATGACTGAGACTTGTGATAATGGATGTCGTTTGATAGGTTACTTCTCAAAGGTTTGTAATATTTATGTATATAAGAATATATATGGTTATAGGTATGTATTTATATAAGTTTATCTTTATTCCTTAGGAAAAACGCTCGCCATTGAATTATAATGTATCATGTATTTTAACTCTCCCAGTTTATCAAAGAAAAGGCTACGGAAATTTGTTGATCGAATTCAGTAATATATTTATATATTGATTTCTTTAATATATTAAAAGAATTTTTTAATGATTTGATAACAATAATAATTTTATTACATTGTGGATAAAATAGGTTATCTTCTTTCAAAAGGTGAAAATAAGCTTGGTTCTCCAGAAAAACCATTATCAGAACTTGGACTGTTAAGCTATCGAAATTATTGGCGTAATATATTATTTGAAGATTTCAAAAAGCACATCAATGATGAAGATTTGACTACTCTTACAATTGAACGTGAGTAAGAAATTAACTGATTTTAAAATTGGATTGATAGCTATTAATCAGATTACAGTAACAATAACAATAATAATTTTTTCTTTCCATAAAAAAAGAACTATGTAATGAAACAAGTATGACACCAAATGATATTGTTGCAACGTTACACATAAATAACATGATAAAGAAAAATGAATGTGATAGCACTTACAATGTAATAATTGATCAGGATTGTATTGATGAATATTTAAGGAAACTTGAGGCTAAAAATTACCCTAGAATAAAGCCGGAAAATCTAAGGTGGACACCATATATTTTACATAGAACAATAGACCCACGAAATTTAAATCATTCTGATAATAATAACAATAATAGTGGAGGTGGTGGCACTAGTAGTACTAGTAATATTAATGGTAACCATCATAATAGTAACATAGCACCAACAGATGATAATATTGGTGGTAGAAATAGGGTTAATAATATTAATGATAATGAAGCCGCTAGTGATGGCGGTGATAATAAAAATAATAATAATGTTAAGGTTAAGAAGAAAGTGGGTAGAAAACCCAAGCGTAAGAATACCAGGTTCACTCCATACTAGCATTAGGTGACATAATGTCATCATTATAGCAAAATAAAATTTTTTTATTATGTATATTTGTAATTATCAATTTGAAAAAAACATCGTCATAAAGAAAAATATTAAATTATTAATTAATAATATTGCTTTCGTTTTTATCAAAGCCTTTTGCAAATGTTTCTGCCACTATCAAAGGAAATACAATTGTTGCATCTGCATAAACCTATAAAAATATATATAATATATATATATATAATAAAAAATATGGAAATAATTGTTAAAGATTTTATTCGATTAATTAATTACCTTTACATGTTCTGCATCAACACTAATCTTCCCCCAACTGACTGCTTCGTCAGGTCTAGCACCTGCATCGCTACCATCGAATTCTTGTCCCGTGTTAATATAGACAGAATAATCTGCTCCATTTCTCTAAACATATCCAATTATATATAAATAAATATCATACACAATTAATCAATTAATAAAGCACCATTTATAAAAAATATTTCTTCTATTAATTACCATTAAGTTTGCATTACATATATGATGTTTAATAACACCACCACCTAAAATTATCATGCCAGTTTTTTTTGCAAAAACAGCTTGATCATTTAATGATCGAATATCTGAAGCAATATCGATAATCAATCCGGGATTTTTAAATGAATGAAAATAAATCATATCTCCTAATGATCCATCCGTCAATGCTGGACAATATACTGGAATATCATTCTATATTAAAATACAGTTGTCGTGATTCATAAATTGATTGACCATTTAATTGGTTGTAATTGATTGATTATTGAATTGACAAATTAAGAATTGTTCCGTTTTTATTATTATCATTATTATCATTATCATTACTTATTAGTGTACCTTATATGCCCAATAATATATAGAGTCTGGATTATTAATCTCTTTGCCTAATCTATGGATAATCTTTGACGGTGTCCATATTATTCCCTATCAATAAAATCAATAAAATTCATAATTTAACTATATATAATAATTAAATAAAGAAAAGCACCCCATAAAAAAAACAGGGATTAAAACTTCTTTACTTTGCTCTTTTGCTCTTCCAATAACTTATCCAGAATAGGCGTCACCCAATCCTCAAATTTACAATAATTATCGTTAGGCACTACTAAATTTCCAATACGATTTAATCCATTTTTTCTTAGCTCTTTACCTGGCAAATGAAAATCGCCTATATATGTGGGTGCTAAACATTTTATAAAATCGTAAAAAAAAAAAATATGTTGTTTGAATCTTTCCTCTTTTTATTATTTATTAGGAAAATTTGA